CCGGGACTGAGAACCGGTCTCGGGCAGACGGCGGCGAGGTGAGGAGCCGTGTGTGCGCACGGGGCTCGTGCATCAGCCCCGGAACGAGGGCTCAGGTGTCGGCTGCTGGTGGGCTTTCGGTCAGCGAGGACCCAGCCCCGACCGGAGAATGACTCCGGAGAGAGGTCAGAGGACGCGCATCCACAGCGTGGACCCGCCCGGAGCTCTGTCCCTGCCGCCGCGTGGGGAGCGGAGCCGCCGGCGCGGTGCCTGGGGGGGCACGGTGCACGGTGGGCATGGGGGGACGCACCTGCAGGTGTGAGGGCGGTGAGGCCTCCGTAGCTCCCCACAGGCCTTCCTGTGGTCCCCGGCCCCTCAGGGTGTCCTGCTCCTTCCGGGGCTAAGTGGGTCCTTTTGTCTTTTGGGGTCAAAGTTACAAGAACATTTTGGTGATGAGGAACCTGAGCGCCCAGTAAAAACGCTTGTTGAGTGAAGATGAGTAATTGCAGGGCTACAAACACTTTATTCCATTAAAAAGAGATTTTCAGTTCTTTTTAAAAATATGTTTTAGCCCTAACCGGTTTGGCTCAGTGGCTAGAAGGTCAGCCTGCGGCTGCAGGGTTCCGGGTTTGATTCTGGTCAAAGGTATGTATCCTGATTGCAGGCTTGGTCCCCAGTGTGGGGCGTGCGGGAGACAGCTGATCGATGATTCTCTCTCATCGATGTTTCTAACTCTCCATCCCTCTCCCTTCCTCTCTGTAAAACCAATAAAATATATATATTCTTTTAAAAATGTTTTTATTGAATTTCCAGAGAGGAAGGGAGAGGAGAGAGAATCATTAATAGGCTGCCTCCCGCACGCCCCACACTGGCATGGAGCCCGCAACCTAGGCGTGTGTCCATATCAGGAATCGAACCCTGACCTTCCGGTTCATAGGTCGACGTTCAGCCACTGAGCCGCCCGGCACAGTGAGAGTTTTAATAAATGTTGGGCCTGCCTGCCTCTCGGGCCCTGGAGGGGAGTGAGCCCAGGGCTGGGGGACCCGCGCCTGTGTTGTCGGGGGGCCTCCCCTTCCGCCCTCTTCTGGCCGCTGGGCATCGGCCCTTGACCTTCCAAGTGCCTGAGAGCAGATGAAGGCCCGCCCTCCGCGTGGTGCCAGCGCGGCCACTTCTCGCAGAGCCTGTGCCAGCGATGGCTCCAGCCGCTGCCGTCTCTGCCCACAGCCTGGCCTCGTGTCGCCGTTCAAGCGGGTCTTCCTCAAAGGAGAGAAGAGCCGAGACAAGAAGGCCCACGAGAAGGTGACGGAGCGGCGGCCCCTGCACACGGTGGTGCTGTCGCT